TCTGAAGCTGATTCATGAGTACACAGATAACTCATTGGACGCTTTATATATTTTTATAAGACTTAAATATCACATAATAAAAACTTTAAAGAGAAAATTCTTTTAAAATGAAAACAATAAGATATCATTTTATGCCCTTGGAATTGGCATAAATTAAAAAAAGTTTGGTAATGCCAAGTGCCAGCCAGCCATAAGATGGGGAAACTGGGACTCTCAAACATGAAAATACTTCTCAGAATCTGGAAAAGTTGAAGCTGTGCAACCATTCAGCCCAGCAATTCCATTTCCTAATGATCTATCTACTCTGGAGAAGCATCAACAGACACGCATATTCTTGGCAGCATGGTTTACTGTAGCAAAAACCTGGAAATATCCCAAATGACCATTCCTGGAGCAACGGGTACTGAACTGTGCCATAAAACACAGGATGAAATACTATATAGCTGTTAAGATGAATAAATTAGATCCTTATGTATCAACAGGAATAGATCCCCAAAACATAACATTGAATAAAAATTCTCAAATATATAAAACAAAACTACATTTTGTACATGGATCCAAACATGTATGTGAGGAAATTATAGAATCATGGAAGGGAAGAACACACACCACAATCCCGATAGAGGTTGCTCCTGGGGAGAGAAGGGAACGAGACTAGGAAATAGAAAATAATTTTCAGCCTGTTAGGGTTTTTATTTTATTTTAAAAGATAAGCAAAAATGAAAGGCATAAATATTTCTTTATTCTGGGAGGTGAGTTGTAAGCTTATTTATCTTGTATTTTCTTTTATATAACTTTTGTTATATTACATATTCAGAATACATATAAATACTCTGATGCTTGTTAAATTATTCCCTGTGGGACACCTGGGTGGCTCAGTCAGTTAAGTGTCTGCCTTTGGCTCAGGTCATGGTCTCAGGGTCCTGGGATCGAGCCCCACATCCGGCTCCCACCTCAGCAGGGAGACTTCTTCTCCGTCTCCCTCTGCCATTCCCCCCACTTGTGCTCGCTGGCTCTATCTCTTTGTCAAATAAATAAAGTATTTTTTTGAAGATTTTATTTATTTATTTGAGAGAGAGAGAATCAGAGAGAAAGCACATGAGATGGGGGGAGGGTCAGAGGGAGAAGCAGACTCCCCGCCGAGCAGGGAGCCCGATGCAGGACTCGATCCAGGGACTCCAGGATCATGACCTGAGCCGAAGGCAGTCACTCAACCAACTGAGCCACCCAGGCACCCTAAATAAAATATTTTTTTAAAAAAAAGAATATTATTCTTTGCAATTTGGACTTTCCCCCCCCCAATTTATTAAATAGTCAATTAAGCCTCTCCCCCATCTACCCACCCCACCTAAAGTTACAATTAACCAAACAGGAAAGGCATACAAACAGGAAAGAGCCCCGAGGAAACACCCACATTGGCAAAAACCGCAACTAGTTGAAAACACTAGACATCCAGCTTCACACAGTTAAACAGTCATGCTTGCAAACACACACACACACACACACACACACACACACACACACACAAAGCAAAAGACAAAAAAAACCCACTCAACTTGAATTAATGAAAGGTCCTACCTTCACACAGCTACTTCACCACACAAGCAGCTAGTTAAGAAATCGTGCAGATGGATCTGGGTTCAACAACTCTGCCAGCTATCTGCTCTGTGGTGGGTACAGTTCTAAACAGCTCTGGGTCTGAGCTGCTTTATATTAAGATGGGATTTATAATATCTACCTCAGGAGCCACGGTAAAGATTATCTTGGATACCATCTCTAAAGTTCTTACCATAGCGCTTGATACATAGTTATTTGTTCACTAAATGGTAGTCACTGTTTGCATCAGAACTGGGATTAGAACTCCATGTGTGGGCATATGTTTCGGCAAAGCAAACTGAAACATCCAAACTGATGTACCAAAACAAGCCAATACCCAACATTGAAGCAAGCACTGTTGACTAACGTATAGCTAAAAGCAATGTAAGAGGGGCGCCTGGGTGGCTCAGGTCATGATCCCAGGATCCTGGGATCAAGCTACCCCCCCCCCCACCCCCACCCCCGCCACTGCATTGAGCTCCCTGCTGAGCAGGGAGCCTGCTTCTCCCTGACACTCCCCTTGCTTGTGCTCTCTCTCTCTGTCAAATGAATAAATAAAATCTTTAAAAAAAATTTTTTTAATGAAAGCAACGTAAGAAAGACCAGAACTGCAGGATAGAGAGAAGTCCTATTTATGAATATAAAGGAATTTTTATATAAAGCAATATAAAGGAAATTTTATAAGTCCAGCAAAATGCAAATTGTCCTCAGGCAATTGATATGAGTATCAATCAATTGGTCAACAGATTCCATTAACCTGTAATCCACAAAGAAAGTCCTTAGACTCCTGCATGTCAAGTTTTAGAAGATTTTATACATTTCTAAGAAGGGGGGAATATTTTTAAAACATACTTGAGGAAAAAACATATTTTCTAGGTTTTGAGTCAAAAAAAAATTCTCCCAAGGGCCCTATTATGAGGACACAATACACTTTAATGGATTAAAAATTTGTAATTCTCTAATTCAAAAGTGATGAAAAAGGAAGGAAAAAATACAACAAGACCAATAAATGTAAGAAGTAAGAATTTATCACTTCACTAAAAGAAAAAAAAAAAGACTTTAATGAATTCCCCAGAGGATCCATCCAAATTTGAACAGACCAAATTATCCCTGTATTATTTCTCCCCTTTTTAAAATACATAAAAGTGCTGGTTAATAACCCAATTTAGGAGTTTAAAATGGTTCTCATGTTTCAAACCACACACACAAAAATACCATAATAATATTCATAAAACAAAAAAATAGTTTCTAAAAAAACAAAAACTAAAACTAAAGTGTCTAAACATATTGCGTATAAGAAATTGAAAGTTTCTAAATATATTGGATATGTAACATATTTAAACAATTATGGATTATGTCTCTGCAGGTTTCTTCCTGAAAATGCAAGTCCTATTATGAGACAATCAGGGAAATTTGAATGCCAACCGTATGTTAGGATTACATTAAAATTCTAATTGTAAAAAATTGTGATTGTTGTACTGCGTCCTTACCCTTTAGAGATACTAAAGAATTTATGGAACACATAATCTCTGGGATTTGGTTTAAGATAACACGTTAGGAGTTGGGGACAGGGGACGGGGAGAGGGAAATAAATGAAACAAGACTGGCCATATTTTGAAAACTGTTAAATTGAAATGATAGGTACCTAGCAGTTCATCATTCTCTTTTCTCTACTTTAGTATATTTTGAAAATATCTAGAGTAAAAAATTAAAATATAACAGATACGTGCATTTAAAACTAAAAGCCAACACCAGTTGAAGAATTTTTAATAACAACAGAAAAGCACCAAAAAAAAAAAAAAGATAAATCCTTCCAACTCTCTTGTTATTCAATATAGTACTAAAATGTTCCTTCCCTTTTTCTCCTCCACCCCCTGCCCTCCTTTCCTCCTCCCAGATTTCCTGGGTTGCTGCGACTTAGAGGATTCCCTCTATACTCATTCGTAATTTACCAAAACTTAATAGACTTTCAAATTGGTGCCTCACAACATATTCAATAAATATTTTTTTAAATAATGGAGCACATTCAGCACTTTTTAAAAATTCTACCATTTTGTCCTTTAAAAAATGTCTTAAATATTATCTCCTCTACTTCATCCATTTAAAACACCGGTCTTTTGTACGCTTTACTACACATATACTGGGGGTGAGTAATCCAAAGCTTTTTGCTAACAAGCACAAGATCAAAAGATTGATGGCCACCATTTTGGACACCAACTTGAAGTTTTTAAGGAGGGCCAAGTGTGAAAAGTAGTATATCAAGAAAAATAATTGAGCAAAAGTGCACAGGGACAGAAAAGACGGGGAGAAAGACTATGGTCAGAGAGAATCATTCCCTAATTGAACAAGCACTCAATCAGAAGTGGGATGGGATGGGGGAACCCAGCAGGAAGTGGGTAGGAGCCCTCAAGAAAAAGGCTTGGTGATGAAAGTATTGTGAAGGGTGAAGAAGGGCTTGGGCCAGTGCCAGAGACCCTGACCTAGAGGAAAGAAGATGAGTGTGATTGACGGGCAGCATATTCAGGTATAGATGTTGCTCGGACAGTGGAAGAGGAAGAACCCAGATGTAGCAGGAAGGCGGAGGCAGCCGATAGACACATGGAAGCCATCTTTGTAGACGTGACAGCTGAACCCAAGGGAGTAAGCTCTCTTCGGGAGAGACTGGGAAGACAGGTCAAAAGGCTTAACCCAAACCTCGGGGCACACTATATTTAGGAGGCAAAAAATGAACAAGTGGAAACCCAGAAGCGGCTGCCTGAGACATACGGCGCACTCTTTCAAAGTGGTCCCAAGAGCGGGCAGTCACCCGCTCGGGCCACCGCGGAGACCTTGGGGCAGGAGCGCTGGGAGTGGACACTACTTCATCGGCAACCCTGAAGAGGATCATTCTGGTCAGGGGTGCGGACTAGCTTCAGAGATCAGAAAAGTGATAAGGAGGGGCACGGGGGCGGCTAGGAGTGGAGGGCCAAGCGCAGGGCCAGCTCGCTGCGGTACAGACAATCCAGGTGCGGAGGGCGCAACGCGCCTTGGGACGACGGTAGCAGAGCGAGAAGGACTCAAGATTCCACACAGTGGAGGCATTTTCCTTCGTTCCCAAAGCTGCCTCTAAGTGCTCTAGACCCAGGCTGACCCAAAAGTGCTGCATTCCTCTGGGGGTGGGGAGTTAAGCACGGTCTTCCCCGGGGCGATATGGAGTTAGCCAAATTCGAGGACGGGTCTGGAGGCGCTGGACGGAAATAACAGCCAAGAGCAGAAGCGCGGGCGGAGCAGGGGAAGCAGAGAGGCGCGAGACTGGAGGGACGAGGTCCCCACGAGGGCGCCCCCCTCGCGGGACAGCAGTCCTGACACCGCTCGTAGACTGGGGCCCTGGGAAGCCGCCACCCCTCCCCTCGCCGTGCACTCACCGCTCCGACTGCGAATAGTTGCACCGACCCAGCAGGTTGAGCTTGCAGAGGTGCAGGTCTTCGCAGGGTCTCTGGCAGAACTTGCGACGGCAGACCCGGGCTCGGGTGGTGGCCACCACGGACCGGGTGACCCCTTCCTTGTCGCCGGTCTCCAACACCACGAAGCGGTCGGGCCCAGCCTCCTCCAGCACCTCGCGGAGCTGCCCCTCGGAGAGCCTTATCTCTTTGAGCAGCGCGTCCAGGGCCATGCGGCCCCCGTGGGCGCACAGGATTTTGGTGATGAAGCAGCACACCTCCGGGTCCGCCATGGCGCGCTGCGCTCGCCGGCCGCGGCGCGGGACTCTGCTCCGGGGAGAATCGAAACTTATAGAGGAGTCCGGGGGCGGGCGCGGGCGGTGCTCGGCCAGGCGCGCCCCGGGCCAGCGAGTGCGCGCTCCTCGCCGCCGTTAGCTGAACCCAGCGGTTTCGCTTTCCCGCTCGGCCCTGGGTCGAGAGGCCAGAACTCACCAGCCCGATCCCGGTGTCAGACTGCAAGCCAACCGCGACGGCAGCCGAATGGAAAGAAAGCGAACGGCGCGCGCAGTTCTGCGGGCCGCCGCCGCAACCACCCGACCCCTCGCTTGCTTCTGCGCTCCGCGAGGGTGACGTTCCCCAGCTGGGCACCGCGAGGCTTCTTCCGAAAGAAGAGAAACTAAAACTGATCTGGGGCTCTGGTGGAGCTTTTATAAGCCAGCCCAAGCAGCGAATGACGCGAGTCTTGGGAGCCCCCTTGAGGAGGTTTCTGTTCTCCACCCCACCCATTCCGGGAAAGCACCGACCCTAGCGAGCGCTCGCGCGGAGCTGGGCGCCCTACCTCTGCTGTAAGCGAATCTTCTCAACGACTCCAAGGCTTAGATACTATTATCCTCAGTCTGTACTTGAGGAAGTAACTTGAGCAAACAGAGCCATCAAGGTGGAACCTGGATGCTACCCAAGGTTCCCCATATCTGGCCCCCAGGCCCCAGATCGTGGTCCGCCCGGCCAGGACCGATGTGCACTTTCTCCCCCAGCACCATGCCCTCTTAAAGAACAGCGATGCTTGCGCTCTCTCGCTCTCTCTCTCTCTCTTTTTTTCCTTTTTAAGAGCTTTTAGAAGAAACGCTTCTTGACACTTTCTTGCCTGCCTTCGATCGGTAACAGGGGTGCCGCAGGTACCACTTAATTCCCAATAGCAAATGGTCACAGGCATGCTTACACGTATGCCAAGATCTCAGGTAGGTTCCTCTCTTGAGATATTTGGACAAGGCCTTATCCCTTGTGGAGACCCTCTTGGACTCCCAGGGTCGGTATAAAGATTATTTTAAAGTGAAAACATTTGAGCTACACAAGTTGCATAAAGAAATTTTATCTGAAATTCTCTTAATCTCAAAGCAGAGCCTCCTGAAGATTCAGCTACTACTAACCCCCTTCAAAGGGAGCTTCCTGCTAATTCAGCTGCCCAGTAGAGACACACTGCCCACTCCATTAACATCAGAAAGCCCAGTAGAACCTTCTATACTGTCCCATTGAAGCCCTAAAATAAACTCTTTTGTTAAATTGAGATATATAAACTTTGGTTATTCCAGGCCTTTTCCATTACTGGGAGCTCCCCCCACCTCCCAAAGTGAAAATAAATCTTGTCTTTTCTCCTGTTAATCTGTCTTTTGTCAGTTAATTTGCAGATCCCCAACCGCTGTATCCAAGTTGGAAGGGGAAAAAGGTTTTCCTCCCAACACTCTCCCAAGTAAAAGAAGGGTCATTGATCAGACAGGGTTTTTTTTTGTAATGATACAATTCAATTGTCAACTTAGAAATTCTTCAAAATGGGAGTGCCTGGCTGGCTCAGTTGGAAGAGCATGCGGCTCTTTTTTTTTTTTTTTTTTAAGATTTTACTTATTTATTTGAGAAAGAGAGAGCGCGCAAGAGGGGAAGAAGGTCAGAGGGAAAGGGAGAAGCGGACTCCTCGCTGAACAGGGAGCCTGATGCGGGGCTCCATCTGGTCCTGGGATCACGACCTGAGCTGAAGGCAGACACAACCAACTGAGCATGCAACTGTTGATCTCAGGTGGTGAGTTTGATCCCAACGATGGGTGTAAAGATTACATAAATAAATAAAATTTTTTAAGAAAGAAATTACTGAAAATGATCAACAGAAATTCTGTTTGGTATTTCATGGTAGATGAACTGTGTCTGTCAAGAATAGAAAACTTTGGCATGAAAGCCAGCCAAATGTGGGGCCCACACAGGATCATCTGACTTTTTGTTCCCTCTAGCCATAACTTCCATAATTGCCTTTAATCCACTTGGCCTTATTTGTGTTCTAATAGGTTCCCAGGACTGGGCTTTCATTATCAAATAAAGTCAACATAGCATTTTCCATGTAGCCCTTACATTAGTTAGTCGCTCTGAACATGCAGAAGTTTAAAAAAATAGTTCCTGCCCCCAAAAACATGTCAAAGACATGAAAAAAAAAAAGTTAAACATAAGGGAATCAGTAGTTAAATGCTGCAGTGGGTATATAGGAGAATGGAGAAGGAAGAGTTTGGAAGAGTGGAGAAGGAAGGATTGGCTAGAAAGGTTGGGAAGAGAGGTCTAAAATTCTCAATTTGAATCCATGAAAAACAATATGAGGGATTGTGGGAAGGGAAAAGGCCGACATTTGGAGAAATTTTAAAATGTGTGCTGTCACAATTTGGTTTCCAAGAAGCAAGATACTGATAAGGAATTAAGAGTACAGATGATCCCTGGGATGTAACACCAGAGAAAGTCAAGGAAAAAAGCAGGAATGGTTGAGGGAGCTGTCAGACAAGGAAGGATACAGACCTGACAAAGTCGGCCAGCCCACCCGGGAGCAGGAGTCTAGCACTGGGCAGAGAAGCCTAAGCCCTTGTACCACTGTCCTGCTCAGTCAAAGCCTGGGGCCACTGGAGAAGAGTGTGACTTGAGCAGATCCTGAAGGAGTTAAAACTGGAGGCTCTCAGCTAAACACATCTTCTTGCAGTTGGGCAGCAAGCCCTGACTTGACGGAGGCATCTGAGGGACACACATGTCTACTCTAGTCCGCCCTGAGCACCGCATGGATCTATTTCTCCATCCATATTCAGGGAACAGCTCCTTCAGGGCTCTCAGGGGCCACTCTCCCTGAAAGGAAATTTTCATCCCTCAGCTCCCACCTTAGCTTCCCTGGGTGAGTACCCCGAGTCCCAGTGCCTAAGGGATCCGAGCACCTTCTCAGGCCAAGGTTATAGTTCTTGCCTTTCTTCACAGTCACATTTGGGCAAAAGAGTGCCAACTGACACCCAGAAAACTCACCAGAGTCCATACATAGTCCTCCCTGTTCCCACTGTCTAATAGCTGCCCTAGCTCTTCCCACTTATGGGGTCAATGACCTCTGATAAAGCAGGGATTCTTTGTCTTACCTGCTAGTCTCTGACCATTAGGAGGTCAAAGTGCTTGGTAGCAACCATAACTTGTAGTCCATTGGGAACTTTGCTGTGCCCCAGGTAAGAACATGCCCGTTTTGGGGACCAAGACCTCTAACTCTGCAGAGCCCAGAGTTGTAGGGACAAAGAAGCCCACTGGGTCATTGGAATGATGCTAACTAGGGCCACTCATGGATTCCACATATTGTTTCCCAACCCATGGATTCTTTCTGTCAGGGACACAGCATAGTAAGTTGATTGAAGGCATACACCATGATGTCCTGGGAGAAACATCATCATTGCAGTGTATTGCCTCCAAGCTGGAGCTTCAACTACATCTTTAATTGGTCATTCCAATACTTTATCTATCCAGCAGCTTCTGGATTGGTGAGGTATGTAATATGACCAGTGGGCCCACTTCCCGACCTCCTGTGCCATGAAGAGTGTCTTCTGGTCAGATGCGACACATGTGAGATTCCATGTGTGTAGATCAGGTGGTATTTAAGCCCCCAGAGAATGGTGCTCCTGAGTCCCTGCAGCCAGGAAAGGCAACTGCATACCTGGAATGAATGTCTATCCCTGTGAAAGCTGGCCCTTCCAGGAGAAAGGGGACCCAATGTAGTCAGCCGGTCACCCAGCATCCTCTTGGTCTCCTTAAGGAATACAGCTTTGCATTGGTCTTTATGGTTGGCAGATTAGACATTCAGTGGTAGCAGCAGCTATATTTTGGTAAATGACCATCCATTCTGTTAGGTTTTTGTATCACCTCCATCTCTGCTACCATAGTTTCTTTGTTCAGGTACCCATATGCAGCAGTGAGGGTAGAGGGGGCCTCTAACAAAGGTTGCCTAGGTTAATTGACCAAGTTATTTTGCCTAGTTGGCACATCTTTTATAATATATACTTACTTGTGGGCCTTAACATGTGATACAAAAAACTTCCCATTGGTGTCCACTCCTATATGTTCATCCACTCCTATATTTTCTTGTCTCTGATTTTCCAATGTCTTTCATTCTGATGCTTCACCCACCAGCCAGGTCACTGCTCATGAGCACAAATATGTTCTAACTTTGGGCCATTCTTCCACCACACAAAGTGGATGCCTAGGTGCACATCTCAAAGCTCCTCCTACTGGGGAGATTTTCCTTCACCACTGTTTTTCAAGACCTCCTCCAAGTGAAACTATACCACAGCCACCATTTTCAGCTTATACTGCATCCTGAGATGATTCATTCATACCCCAGCTTGGGCTTTTTCCTTCCTCATTTAGCTCATAACGACCACAGGTGTAAGCTAGGGGTGGGGTGCCAGGACAAGCACAGTGAGTGACATGAACATGTGGGCTATGAGGGCTATGGACTCATGCAGCTTGCCTGTGCCCTCTGGTCCTGCTTGTGCTCAGTCCCAGAGATACTGGTTTTACCTTATGATGGCTTTAATGCTAGGCCTGCCTGACTTTGTGACTCTACGTGTCCAATAGGACCTAGCTAGTGATGATGGATTCTGAACCCATGGTCATTTGTTATCTCTTCCAGGGCCCAGTACCAAGCTAGGAGCTGCTTTTCTGAAGGAGTGTAATTCTTCATCACAGTTGGTATGAGCTTGTTCCATAACCCAAGCTGTCTACATTGCGATTCTTCTCCTGGGACCTGCCTTAAATGCCACACTTATTCCATACTGACCCCTCCAACACTATAGGCTCTGCTAGATGATTCAGTCCAAATAGAAAGGCTGTTTGTACCACAGCTTGGGCCTACTGGGGAGCTTCTTTCTGCTCTGGGTCCACTCCAAGCCAACAGCTTTCCATGGAACCCAGCGTTTGGGCAGCAGGAGTGTTCTTAGGTGTGGAATGTGTTTCCTCAAGAATCCAAAGATTCCTAACAGGCTTTGGGCTTCCTTCCTTCCAGTAAGGGATAGGAGATGCAGCAACTTGTCTTTTACTTAGAAGGAAATGTCCAAGCATGCTGCTGACCATCAGGCTTCTAGAATCTTTGGTGAAGTGGCAGGTCACCAAATCTTTGCAGGATCATCCTGCCCGAGCAGCATGATATCATCCATGTACTGGGTCAACGTGATGTTACGTGGGAAGTCCAAATGCTCTAGTTCTCTTCCAACTATATCACAACAGCAGACTGAAGAGTGGACATAGCCCTGTGGCAAACTGTAAATGCTTGTTATCTATTCTGTGGTAATATGAACTATTTCTTTAAAAAAAGATTTTATTTATTTATTTGAGTGAGAGA